GGCTAGTGTGGCCGCGTCCTGGCGCTCTGAGCCGCCGCGCCGCCCGCCCCTGCTCCGCCGGCTTCCTCCGCGCCTCTCGGCCCGCTCTCCGCGCCGCCGGCAACCTGGAATCTTCCCCGGAGCACAGAGAAAGAGAGGAAAAAGAAAAACATTTGGGGGGCAGTTACTTCGTTTCCTGAATTTGGGCGCTAGTAGAGTATTCAAAATACTGGAGTATTTCGAGGGGCTGGGAAACAGGAGGTGAATTTAGTTGTTCTTGTGGCTGCTTTTGCTCCAAAAAATACTCCTTCACCGAGGGACAAAACCCCGGAGGTTGGCATCTAGACCTGCGGAGTTGGTTTTTAGTATGTATTCGATGACAAACCCTGGATTATTTAAATGTAAAGAACATCTTTCGGATAGACTCGAGGAAGAGGAATGGAAGGGAAGCACGCTTTAGAATCGGTTTAATTTGAATTTGTAAGTAAAAGGCCCCTAAACCTGCAATTTCCCCCATTAATGACCGCAGAACCCCCTGGGGAGCGCATGGAGTTGTCTTCGGGAACCTAGGCTTGCAGGCATTTGGGTGGGAGAGGCAGGCATCCCGCCTTACCCTCCTCTAATTTCTGGGGTGCAGAGGCGAGAATCCGGTTGCTACACTGTCCGCCTCGGCCTCCATCAGGACCACCTTTCCTCCCAGGGGGAAAACTAGGCCCTAGGGAATCTGGGGTCCCCGCGCCCGCAATGCTGCAAGCCTCGCAAGTGGGGGTCCCGCCATTAATAGAGCTGTGAGCGAGGGGGGCGTTCAGAGGAGCAGAGGGGGCACAGACGCTTTCATTTTGCCTTGATGCAATTGGCAACTCTGAACACCAGCTGCTGCTCCCGACTCACCCCAAAATTGCCTTAGAACAGTCCCTATATGGAGTATTTGGGGTAAATTTTTACCAGAAGAGGGGGCAGAGCTCCTGTGAGAACAGGGAGGTTCCAAAAAGAACCCCCTTCCCAGCTGGACCCTTGCGGCTCCTCGACCTGATTGTCTGCACCCCAAATCTCACCCCTTCTCAGATTGGGGTTTCCCCAAAAAAGCGAGAAGGAGAAGAAAAGAAGATGGCGACTGAGAAAAGGGTTGCTGGTGGAGCAGCCATGAAGAAATGCAATAAATTCCTTGTTGTTTTATGAAAATTTACAACTTTGTGATAGAAGTTTATGAGTGGTTGAATCCAGCGATTGGCCGGCGCCGGTCATGTGGCCGGGCGATCGTGAACATGAACTTTTTATCATTTCCCTGGTGGTTATAATGCAGCATTCTTTTGGACACCACACCTAGGTCGGAGCACTGTCGTCCTTCAGGGCTCCAGCCTCTTGATATTTTTATACTTCAGTATCAGTTCGATAAAGCAAAAGAGAGAGAGGAAGAGAGAGGGAGAGGAAAGAAGAGAGAGAGGGGGAAGGAGGGGTGGGAATTACACAAAAGAGAGAACCAAAAATAATTTTAATTCCTAAGTTAATTTCCTTGCTGAGCTGGGATTTTAGTCACCATGGAAGGTAAATGGACAATCTGCCCAGGACTGCAGCCTGATACCATTTTTCAAAGCCAGAACTTACTCCATTTTCTATGCAAATATCAGAAAAACGAAACACTCTCTCTCCCAAGTCAGAGAAGGGGAAGCGACGGCTCTCAGGTTGGGACAATATTATCTGGAAGATGAAGAAGAAACCGAACGCTCTTTTTTCCCCTCCTTCTTCCCCACCCCTTTCAATCGGAGGAAAGAAACCTCAAGGTCTGCAAAGGTAAGGGAGATTCTACAGTTCTCTCCTTAATCTTTTGCCTCGATTTTGTAGGTGGGGCTTGGGTTTGTCTCCCCCTCCCCTGCCCAAGATGGGGCTGAACCCCACATCTGGGTGCTGCAGGGAGAGGCTTCCCAGGAAATTCGGTGGCAGAGAGAAGGGTGGCTGCTTCCTGGAGGGGGAGCAAAGGCAGGGAAGACGGAGGAGGAACCGAGAGGGGCCATGGAGGCGAGCTCTAAGTCGCCTTTTGAAGCTGGGAGGAGAGGCTCAATTGAGGGGGGCTGTGGAAAGAGAGGATGGGGTGTCTGGGCTTCAGGGCACCTGCAGAAGCCGGTTGCTATGGCCTCTGTGGGTTTGTGCCCCCACCCCCTCCCACCATGCCTCCCTCCCCCGTTCTGGCTTTCCCCAACTGCTCTCACGCGGTTC